GCCGCTATCGTTCTCGCACCCTCGGACGCTTTCTCGCCCACCTCGTCCTTGGCGCGTTTCATCGAGGTCGCCGTCTTATCTCTCGCCTCTGCAATCGCTCTCTCCTTCGCCGCGTCGATATCTCTCCCGGCTTTTTCCACCGCCTGGCGAGCACGGGCCTCTTCCTCGCCCGCTACCCTCTTCGTTTCGTCCAGCAAATCTTCCACCCCTTCCGAGGCCTCCTCCGCGGCGTGTTTCGCACCTCTGAACAGGCCCGAGAGGAACCCTCCGCCCTTCTCTTTACCCTTCTTCGCTTCCCTCGCAATCTTCTCCTTAGCCGCGTCCGCGCTATCCATCGCCGCATCCACGCCCGACGAGATCTTTTGCCTCGCGGCGGCGGCGTCCTCCTTCGCCTCTTTCTCCACCCTATCTTTCGCCACTCTCGCGCCCTCGCCTATCTCGCGAGCAGACGCTTCCGCGTCGCCAACTGCCTTCGAGATCCCTTCTTCCACCCTCTTGCCAACCTCCGACACTTTTCGCGAAACATCCGCCATTTTCTCGCCGATTTTCTCCTTGGCATCCTTCGCGTCCGTCACCGCTTCTCGAGCCGTAGATTCTAGCCTTTCTCCGCTCCGTTTCACCCCATCTTCCAACTTTTCACCGACCACTCGCCCAGCATCCGACACTTTCTCCAACCCGTCCGAAATTTTCGCTCCAACTTTGATCTTTCCGTCCCTCGCGGAACTCGCAATTTTATCCCTCGCTTCGATAATCGCTTTGTCCTTGGCCGCGGCCGTGTCCTCGATCGTCTTCTCCATCGCTTCGTAAACGCGTGCCTTCTCTTCCGACGATTCTCTCTTCGCTTCCTCCAGAAAGTCCTTCACGTCGTCCACGACCTCGTCCGCCGCGTGTTTCGTTCCCTTGAACAAACCGGAAAGGAAACCGCTACCCTTCTCCTTCGCCCTCTTAGCCTCCCTCTCGATCTTGTCTTTCGCCGCAGCGCCGCCATCCACTACGGCATCCACGCCGGACGATATCTTCCGTTTCGCAGCCTCGCCATCCTCCCTAATTTCCCGCGCCAGCTCGTCCTTCGTCGCCTTCGCACCGCTACTCGCATCGTGGACCATCTCTCCAGCTTTCTCCACGACTCTCTTCGCGCCTTTCGTCAACTCTTCCCCCGCAGCTTTTCCAGCGTCCGATACCTTTCCAACGCTTTCAACCACCTTTTCGCCGATCTCGTCTTTCTTTTCCTTCACCGTCACCGCCATTTTATCCTCGACGTCCAAAGTTTCGGCGACCACTTTATCCTTGGCCGCTTTCGCAGCTTCGCTCGCGTCTCTCGCGACGGCGTCCGCTCTTCCTTCAACCCGTTTCACTCCCTCCTCCGCTTTCTCGATCGCAGTTTTCCCGATCTCGGACACCTTCCGCGCGCCA